CCCCAAAACCCCAAAACCCCACGCTTATAATATAGAAAATTAATTAATAAAAAGAAAAGTAAATTTATAATAAAAAATGATGCAGCAGCCCTAAATCATGGGTTATATTTAGTAATAACCTCTTCAAAGTAATTTTATTAATCAGAGACATATTAGACCCTAATCAAGAGGTTAGTAATATGGTTAACCTAATTAAAATTTAATGCATCCAATGGGAGATTAATTAAACAATCTTCAAAACAACAGAATACATTAATAGCCTAATCAAAACTATTTTCAAGACATTCATAATAACTCTGTCCAGTATTAAAACTAATAGAATCTTCAAAGAATCAACTTAAGACCTTAATAAAATTTAAATATGAGTGTAGATCATGCTTACAGAGGACATCAGCCTCATCATCACGTATATGATTAGAATGAATATGGAATGAATATGAATGTAGCAGGTTCTGATCATATTAATCATTTTGCACCACCAAGGTCTGCTCAATTCAATCAAAGAGGAAATTATTAGCATGGTATAAATAACAGATATAATCAAAATATTCCAATGAATCAGTATCATTAGGCAAATGAGGGCTAGTTAACGAATGATCTTAAAACCATGGTTGATTCTTAGAATTAAGCAATAGTACAAATGATAAACAAAATATAAGAGGACAAAGAGTTCAAGATGAAGTAGAAGAATATGGAATTGATGTAACGTATAAAGACTCTTGAAAGAAAGAAGAGAAGAATGAATGGAGAAGACATTTCAGATGGAGAAGAAGATGATATAATGGAAATGATGAATGTAAACAATAACATACATAACGGAAATTAATATCTTTAGTAGCAATAAATGATTAATCCTGCTTTGAATTAAAACTATAACCAGAGAGCTTAAATTCAAAATAATCATCATAATCCTATGATCTAGCAAGCTTAAATGCTTGAAGGTAATGGCCTGGATGATCAAGATTCTATATTTGCTCTAGCTGATTCCCTTGAGCCAGGGACCTATGTGCCCATTGTTCCTTATGAAGAGAATGGAGATGATCATTTCGTAGACAATCCATTTTATGATGCCGAGTATAATATAAAATAAATAAAAGAAAGACTCAGAAGGAAAGTAGGAGAGTATGGAAATTCTGATGGATTGACATTACAAGAAAGAGTTTAGTAAAAATTAAGTAATTACCATAATGGGACTCTCTCTTAAGCTCCCCAATCAGCTTCAAAGTAATCTAAAACATAAAGTTTATTCCTTGGAGAGGGTTAAATAGAAAATCAAAATGATGATAGATCTAATCTAAAAAGCAGGGAATCAATTAAATTTTAAGATGTCGCATTGTCAAACTAGGTTCTTGGAAATGGAAATGGGGGAGGCTTCATGGGTAAATTCCTAAAAAAAATTGATAATGATAAATAGCTATAGAATGATCTTTATGCCAAAGTAAGAAGAGATATTCCAAAGTATGGTTATGCTGAATTAGTCAGAGATTTTAGAATTGATGAAGAGATAGGAATGGAAAAAGATAAAAAACTTGAGCCTTATGAAAAAACTCAAAAGCATCTTTCATTGCTAGATAAAATCTAAGATATTTAGAGAGAAAGGATACAAAAACTGATTTTAGCTGACTAAGCAGGCAAGAAACAAGGTTCCCCGCTCAAAGGGTTCTAGGCTGAGTAAGTTTATCTAATTAAAGAAATACTTGATTATGAGAAAGAAGATGATCAAATCTTAGCTCTTATCGATAGAAAATATCCGAACGAGGAGGAGTCATTAAAATGGTTAATTGCATAGATGAAACCCTTCTTTTTAACTTTAATGAATGAAACTAGATACGACTATTCGAGACTCATTTTAGATGAAGCAAAGAAATAATATGGGTATGCAGATGAAGGTGACAAGCAAAATTCAAATGAATATGGTTAAAATTATCATTTATTGGATGATAATAAAAATGATCCAGAGGTAATTTAGCTAAGCAGAGATAATCTTATGAGAAAGTTTGAGGCAAAACTTAAAATACTTGTTCAGTGTTTCGAGAAAGTAGATGTCTAAAAGATACCTGCAAGTCTTTTGAAGCAGTTGAATTTAATTTTAAACTCACCAAAAAAAGATGAATTATCTTTAATGGAATGGAATAGGTTAGAAGCTAACGAGACAAGCTCTACTGCAATTGTTAAGTAAGAATTTACTATTAAAATATAATCCTTCCTTAGTTAATAAGATAAACTTGAGATGACTATGCTGATTGGAATGTATGTAATAGGAAGGATTTTAACAATAAAACTATTCTTGAAGCCCAACGATAGCGGGCTAGGGATACTTGCTTCTGGAACTTTAAGAAAGTATTTTTGCGCAAGATTTAATATTTTTGATTATAGGAATTTAAAGATTTTTGCAACTGTGATGTATAGCACTTTTCAGAGTTTTATTATTAGAAGTATCAAGGTTAAGAGAACTGATTTTAGAAATGATAGTGATATGATTAGCAAGGCATTATTTGATAAATATTTGATGGATAAATACCTAATGGATTTGCCTAAAAAGAATGAACTTGAGTAATCAATGATAGAAATGATAAGTAAAATAATCTATAAATTGAATTAGTGAATTGTAATGATTTATTTTATTAGATTTGAATTGACTCAAATTTAGCTTTTCGGGGTTTTGGGGTTTTGGGG